ACTTATACATATATATATATATATATATATATAATAATGGGATTAGGATATACTTAACGCAGAAAAAATTCAAGATTATACTCACGACGGATCGGAATTCGGTTAGCTCGCGTTAGATCCTACCGGAAATTGCTAGATCGTTCGAACTGCATTTGCAGTAGAGACGACCGACCGGAACGAAGAAACTCTCTTACGTGTAATTTGTATTTGTACGACGGAAAGTTAAAGACAAGCCGCACGTAGCCATGCGGAAAAGGCACTCGTACTCGATCTCGAGCCCAAGTCATAAGTGTTTCGTTCTAGAGCAATTTACCGTATCGCGCACACAGACGGTACGTCACATAAACGCAACGACGGCATTTAAAAGAATTTCGTGCAAAGAAATTCCGAACGAGTCGACGAAAACACAACACAAACGTGCAAAGAAGCGAACTCGTCATTCGGGACACGAACGTTTAAGTGGCGCAGAGCATTCGCAGAGGGTTACGTAAGTGTGGAAGATCGACTGCACATAGAAAAGATCACCTTATGGAAAGAGACAAAGGGCCTAAGGAAAAGAATTCTTTGTGTCCAGCCTGTATAGATAACTGTTAGGTGTATTAGTATTAGATATGTTTGCAGACAATTTAATTCTGGCAAAATAAGCCATTGAAANCAAACAAAAATCAAGCACTTTTTACTTAGAAATGCTTTATCGTAATTCACTTTGAATTTCTTGAGATATATTTGTTTGAACATATATAATTTATCAATTAATGAATTATCTAAAAATTTAAAGTAAAAATTAATTTAAATAACAAAGTTTAAGGGAATTATTTTGATCATTCATTAATTTACAGGACTATAGACAGATCACACTTTCATCCAATTGTTCATATTAGTTCTGTAGAGCTACCAGAATCATTTTTAGTTCATCTAGTTGCCATTACCCAAACAGGTTTTATTTTTATTTAATTATTGAATTGGAATTTTTACTTGTTTTACTTCATAAGCATATATTAATAATCTTTGATATAAATTTAGGTGTTCGGCTCTATTTCACTACAACATCACTTATTCATCCAGAAATTCGACCTGTTACACTTTCTCTTCTTCACGTAAGGCTTCCTCCGGGATTTTCTGCCAATGCTCCTCCTGATCGACCATCAAATGTTCATCTTGCACATTATAGAAAAGGTAGAATTTATCTTTTTAATTTTAATATTTCTAATTAATGTATTTTAAAAATTTGATATTGCATTAAAATTGCTGATGGAATTTAATTTAAATAGGTACAGCATTATTAGCATCAGCAAGAAATGATGACAGTGATATTCTTTGGGCAATGAGCAATGATACATTTCCATTTCAACCAATTTTAATGGAAATTCATGTAAAATTTCTTACTTTCAAAATTTAAAAAAATACCTTGATAATTCTTCACTAGAATAATTATTGTTTTTGAAATTTACAGACTATTCTTCCCATTACTGGCAGAACATGGGCAATGGCTGAAGTTCCTATTTTGCAGCCACCGAAACCATTTTGTCCAATGGTTTTTAATAACATAAATGTTTATACTGAACCACCACTTTTGGTAACACAGCATATGGAATATCCTAGACAATTTGTTTTGCTTTCAGCTCTAGTATTTAAATTAATTAATTACGAAATTAAACCAATGAGCAAATACTTAATCCTTTGCGTCCGTCGTTTTCGACACTTCGGTCGCTTTCCAATGTGACGTCTGGTTTAAAAGTCGAAAGAGGTGCGTTTCGGATGGTAATTCAAACGAAAAACACAAGCGACGGCAGATTTAAACGCAAGTATGCAAAGTTCGAGTCGGCCGATGTCGTCTCCGAAAGTTGGACTAAACGAAACGAAGATAAAATCTTAACGCTAGCAAAATTCTAATTAAAATCTTACTTGGTGTAACGTCGGCGTCCACAAGTCTTCTTAAAACCACGTTCGGGTAGCAGAAAACACTGAAAAAGACAAAAAAACACAGCAAAAACCAGAGCAAAGAGCGCACACGTCCGTTCGGCAAGCGAAAAACGTGCAAAGTGACGCAAAATCGTGTTGCAACAATACGCGTTTCCATAGAAACAGCAATTGTTGCCGTTTCTATGGAGATTAGAAAGCGCGTAACGAATTCGAATGCGATTGACGTCATGGATTCTTTTTGAATTTTAAGGCTAAATATCTGCATTTTTTACGTTTTTATCCCCCCGAGTGTCGACGGATTGGGATCGAGAGACTCCCTACCACCCTCCATTCTCCACAAGGGGTTTGAAGCGAGATTTTCTATAATCGAACGGCGTCTTTACCTCGCCACCCCCAAAATTAGAAGAAATCCTTCCTCTCGTTCGTCGAGTATTTTCCGACGAATTTTCCGATTGACCGACACCGCAATTTTTATTAAATTTCGTAATATTTCGTTTATCTGACACCATTTTAAAAGCGGTTACCTGACGTCATCGGACATTGGTTATATTAAATATGCATGTTATAATTTAGTTACGTAAACGTTAATTAAAGTAACTTGTATATTAAATAAGCGAATTTTATAAATTTACCTGCCCCAAAGAAAATATCGTGAATTTTACACGAAGGAATCAAATAATATAGTTGTGCCTATACTGAAATGGCCTACTGCTCGAAACGAACGATTTAATTTTCTTTTTATAATAAAAAAATTTGGCAACGAGTTGCGTAACTTTCCCGGCTGTTGTGAGATTTTATTGAGAAAATAACTTATATTTTTAATTGGAATATAATAAACAGAATTGTGCGTGGCGCCATCTTTTGTGTGATTTTGTTATAAAAACTTTCTATATTTTTAATTATTATAGAATGGTGAAAAGATTAATTTTCAGAGTGGTGGTCTTCGTTAAGTCTGGCACCACTCGAGATATGACACGTGACCTTCCCTCTATCTTTCCTCCCCTTCAAAATCCTATTTATTATTTCTATATGAAGTCAAGATGAACTACTTTTTGATTAAATACTAAATATATAAAATAAATATATGACGAACGTGTTAAAGATAACTTGGAAAAATTAATTAATTTTGTGGCATAAAAAAATTTCTAGATGAGGACAACAGTTCGTAAAATAGAAATGAAACCGAATTATTTAGAAAGTAAAAGTTTTCTAAATATTTGGGTTTGATTTCCCTACATTTTTAAATAATGAGATCTTCTTTTATGTAAATAAATACTGTATCAAGAATGAATTTTAAAGGTAAAATTTCTGACTTTCAATTAGGTATGACTGTTTCTGCATTATGATGATTTCAGTTAATGTGCAGTATATTAACATTAATGGCAGATATAAACCCACATCATTATATTAAGATAATGGTGAATGTTTCAGTTAAAAGGGATGAATTATTTTATATGATTTTATTAAAAGAGATTTTTGAAATTGGTGATAGCATTTCTATTAATTAATGGTGCAACAGAATTTTCCAGCAAAGTTTTAAAACTGGGATCAAATAGCAATACAATGTCGACATTATTAACTTGAATTAAATGAATTACATTTTTTGAATGATTTACACTTAATGAATTATCATACCACCTTCTACTGCAGGGAAAGTTTTTTTTTTAAACTCTTTTTATTCTGTAGGCACTTGAGGGCTTCTTTTAGCAAGCCCATTATGGATTCGGCCAAGACCACAATGGGACGGCCAGGTGGTGAGGGACGAGGCCGACATATCCGGACGGACCCCCTCGAAAGAGTCCTATTGACCCGTCCGGATTCGACTCCGGGGGACTCAGAGCGGTAGGCTGTCATCTTGACCGCTCGGCCATCCGGCTGCCAGTAACCCTTCTCTAACGTGATACTTATGCAACGCAATTTCGATATAAGAGTTTATACGAAATCACCTGTTTATCTTATCGCTATCACTTTTGGAGAGAATTTTTATGATACGGATTAAAATAATATTCATGAATTAATTAATTACTGAGGTTGTATATTTGAATATGGAAGAATTGGTACAATTAATAGATGAAGTTGATCCAATATACGTAGAGTATATCGATCAAAAAACAGTTCATTCGAAGATTCTGGTAAATCTGTTAAAGAATTCACTTTTAACAAAAATTAAAAGAATGATTGGACTTTGTAAGAACGTTATGAAATTTTTTTGCTAATAATGATCCTCCATCGAGCGCTCCAGCAAATTTCAAAGACAATTGGAAATTTGTTTAGTACAGTACCATATAATGAACTACAAGAACAGTTGCAAAATAGCCTGAAAACTAAAACAAAAGAATCTGAAGTTGAAAGTTAAAGCAATGTCCAAAAGGTTTCAAGCGATAAAGAAATCCGACGATTGGCAAATAAATATTGCCGAAATGTTTTGAAGAAAGTAGTGAAGTAGTGAAGACGACTAAAATGAACTTTTTGTGTGCAATGGAGAATTGTTATGCTCAATTATTTATTTTACGAATTTTAATAAGTATGTTTTTGTTTTGCAATTCATATTTTGTTAAATGAGATTTTCTAAATTAAATAAAACTGTTTTTTCTTACAAACAGACAAAATTTATATTTAAAAAAATTCGATTTGGAAACGTAAACCCATTTTTTATACGTAACGTGAATCTCGCTTAACGTGGTTTTTATAACGCCACATTTTTGTGGAATCGAACTACTGCGTTATACAAGGTCACATGTTTAGAAGATATACATACAGGTGCATACGGTATAAAAAATATAATACAATATAATGTAATATATATATATATATATAATTATTTATAATTTTAATTAGAAAATTTTTAAAATAAATAATCCCGTTTTGTACTTTAATCACAGTAGGTGGCGACTAAGTTTAGTTTAGTTTTGTTCCTCGAGAGGTTTCGAGGTCTGTGTAGGAATGTATACGAAGTAAAATGAAAGAATTATTTCTTACTATCCTTTCTATATTAAGTTCTCTTTTCCTCGTTTTTTTATTAGTGTGTATTGGTAAGATTTTGTTTTATTAGCAACTTATAGCTATTACATTATGATTATATTGTGTATTACTTATATAATAGGCTTCATTTTAAAGTGATTTATAAAATCAATCAAAATTTTTGGTGTGCGTGTGCGTGGCTTATAAACAATTACCATTTATTATTTAGTCATGTAAAACTGGAGTAGAGTGAAGTGTAGAAAAAAATACAATAACTTGGTATATGGATTAAAGTCTACCAAAAAGTTTTATGCAAATATATCTTAGATATAGAATCTATGTTTCAGTTATAAAAAATCACGGTCAATGTTCAGATACGTGGACCATCATGGCGGCACTTCCTGTTTTAGCCTCGAAACCTGACGCCTTTGGAGACGACGTGTCACGTGACGACGCGAGCGAACGGCGCGCCGTGTCGCGCGACGGCTCATCGCCGATTCCGGCAAAGAGAAGGAAACAGTGGGGACGCACGTTCTAACCTAACCTAAACCTATTCTAATAAATTACCATAATTATTACCAATTATATTAATAGAATAGGTTTAGGTTAGGTTAGAACGTGCGTCCCCACTGTTTGCTTTTGTTTGCTGGAATCAGCGGTGAGCCGCCATGACAGCCGCCGACGCTGCCCGTTCGCTCGCGTCGTCACGTGACACGTCGTCTCCAAAGGCGTCAGGTTTCGAGGCTAAAACAGGAAATGCCGCCATGATGGTCCACGCATCTGAACATTGACCAAAAAAATAATAAACTAATACTTATTTATTTTCATTTCAGTAATACAAGGTAGAAGTATGTATGTATGGGCAAAATCAAAAATAAATAAATTGGGAAGTAACACATTAAACATTCATTAAGCAAATATAAAAACAAACACTAATAATAGTATTAAAGAGAGTGGTAGGCACTGAGATGGAGTGATGATATTTGTAAAATAAGTAACCAAAATAATAATAAACATATCTTGAAAAAATTCAGGTTAGTAGACAAAAGAGGGGGGAAATCTGTTGCCAAAGACTCATTGCAAGCCACTTTAAGTTCAGACAAAACTTAATAAAGTAATACAGGAAATCTTTGCTTGATACAGATTTATGCAATATGATTTTAGTTATATATGATTCAATTATTTGTAATAAAACTTTTTCCTATTGCTTAAATTTTTATGATAGAAATGTAAGTTAATAACTCACTCCTTTAGTATGTAAATCAAGTAAATGTTCTTTCGTATCTTAGTTTTTTATAAAATCCATAGTACTGTTATTGACACAGAATGCTCTGTAAAATTCTTACTATTTTATACAGTAATAATTTCTTATTTTCATTTCTAATGCTTTCAGTTCTAATGCAAGGAAAAGTGATGTCAAAAGAAAATAATGTAATGACTTTAGTAATATTGATTAAAATCAATGTTACACTTATTCTTTTTGATTCATTTTTAAACATTTCACTTGGGCTTTGATTTATTTTTGATACATTGAATTTGTAATGATTTAAACCATAAATGAAGAATACAAGATAAGTCAAATCAATACAGAAAATGTTCATACAAACAGATCTTCAGATTTGCTTAATTGCTTAATTAATGTTAAAATGTAAATATCAAGAGAAACCATTATTTAACAATGTATTTAAGATGTCTTTCATAATGATTTTCACTTCTCACTTTTCATAATATGGTTTAACTTTTTTGCTTCTTGAGTATTATAAAGCACAATACACATTAAGTAAATTTCATTATTACCTTGGGAATATTAGAACAAAATATATATATAAGCTTCAGAACAAATAGTGTTGGTGAAAGGAAGGGCATCCAGCTGTAAAACCTATGCCAAAACTACATGGAAGTAAGCTATAATTGTGTTAGGACATCCCCCAAAGCAATGCACAGTCATGTCGCCTGAAAACTATGTCAAATGAGCTGGAGCTACCAAACCAAGAACAGGTTCAGATAAAAAAGTTAGTCCAGAAAGAGAAGAGGAAGAAAACAAGTATAAGAATAGGTACTTTAAACATCGGAACATTGAATGGGAAGAGTAGAGAGTTGGTGGATCTTATGCAAAGAAGGAGAGTGCATATTGTACCTGCAAGAGACAAGATGGAAAGAAATAAAGCTAAAGAACTTGGTGAAGCGTACAAGCTGTTTGTGAGTGGAGTGAATAAAAGAGGAAGGAATGGAGTTGGTATCATAATTGATAAAGTTCTAAAAGACAGTCTGTGAGGTTAAACGAAGGTGTGATAGAATTATGAGCATTAAGTTGGATATTGGTGGAATTTTCATTACAATTGTTTCTGTGTATGCTCCTCAGTCAGGTGGTGGAAAAGAAGAAAATACAAACTTTTGGACAGATCTGGACCAAGTTATAATGTGTGTTCCTAAGAATGAGAGATTAATCTGTGGGGACAATTTAAATGGTCATGATTGACTAGTCTTTCTCCCTCTTCATTCCTTTCTCCCACACTCCACCTCCTAAGAGGGAGGTAGAGTGTAGGAGAAAGGAATGGAGAAAGACTAGTTGATCATGCTGTGGCTTTTGACCTTGCACTAGTTAACACCTACTTTGAGAAGAAAGCGAACCAACTGGTTACATACATGAGTGGAGGTAGATCCAGCCAGATTGATTTTTTCTTGTGCCGCAGGAGACATCTGAGGGAAGTGAGAAACAGTAAGGTGTTAAATGGAGAAAGTGTTGCTGCACAACATAAGAGTCCTCCTGGTGGATTGTGACTTTCTTATGTGCCATTGTAAGAATTGTGTTAGCCAGATTGAACAAAGGATCAAATGGTGGAGATTGAAAGAGGAGGAATTGAGGAAAGAGTTTAAGGTAAAAGAAATCCAGTTTCCAGATGATGTGCAAAAATGGTGGTTGCTGAATAGTAATTGCATCTTGAAAGTTGGAGAAGAGGTTTTGGGAAAAACTTCAGGGAAGAGATCGCCAGAAGGAAAGCAACTTTGGTGATGGAATGCTGAGGTACAAGTCGCAGTTAAACAAAAAAGAAGAGGCAAAGAAAAGGTGGGATTTGATGGGAAGGCTGGAAGATAAATAAACTTACCATTTGGCAAATAAAATGACTAAAAAGGCAGTGGCAATTGCAAAAGCAAAGGCTTTTGAAGAGACTTATAAAGTTTTTGAAAGGAAAGGTGGTGAAAGGCAGTTGATGAGAATTGCCAAAGCAAGAGATAGGGCATCAAAAGGGCCTCTATTAAACTGATTAAAGATGATAAAGGAGTGGTATTACATGATTATGAAAGGGTAAAGGAAAGATGGAAAGAATATTTTAGGAATTTATTGAATGAAGAAAACCACAGAACTTTATAGGAGAATGGAGAGGCAAATGAAGGAGTGGTGCAAGATATTAGCAGAGAAGTGGAAAGTATGCTTAGGAAAATGAGGATGGGGAAAGTAGCAGACACTGATCGGATTCCGGTTGAGGCTTGGAGAGGTTTGGGTAAGGAGGGAATTGATATCCTCTGGGACCTTATGAAGAAACACTGGCAGCAGGAGAAGATCCCAGATGAATGGAGTAAGAGCATTCTGATGTCAATCTTTAAAGGTAAAGGAGATGTACAGAATTGCAGAAATTACAGAGATATAAAGTTATTGTCCCATACTATGAAGATTTGTGAGCAAATTGTAGAAAGATTCATTTCAGATTTGTTTAAGAAGGTAAAGAGCATCTAGAAGACTGAACTTTTTTGTATAGTTCTCGTGCATTCATTTTTGTGATTTCAATTGACTTGCAGAAGTCAACTCTGCACTTTGCATCTATAAATTGGTGACAAATAAGTGAATTTACATGAATTAAAAGTGCTTGTCAATTTGATGTGCTTTACAATTGTCAGCCCAACAGAGAAGAATCTTGTGCCTAAATTTCTGGTCCCACTCCAGCAATGTCATTAAAAAATTGTACTGTCATCCAGACATTACTATTAGATTGATAAGAAACTGATAGTACTTTCACTCTCTTAAAACCTGTTTGCTTTTTCCTATCATCATAATGTCCCCTTCCTCTAAGTCAGTGGTTCCTAATTAGTTTTTCCTGCGTACCACTTTAAGAAAGAGCTCAAACTTGCGTACCCCTTATAGCAGAAATTCATATTAATTCATACTAATATTATAAATTTGAAGGTAATTCTGGTTGTCTGTCTGTTACCTTTTCACATCTAAAACACTGAACAGGTTTTAATAAAATTTGGCACAGAGATAGCTTACATGTTGGAGATGGACATGGGCTACATTTTACTGCGAGAAAATATCTTACTCCCACGAGAAAATTCGATATAACGTGGGCAAAGCTGTGGGTAGACAGCTAGTGATAAATAGAATAAGTTTTTTTTTACATTTATTACCTTTAAAAATACAGTTCTAATAATAATGAAAATAACATAAGGTTATTTAATTTTAATGTGACAAATGTGCACGATTTTCTTTGCACAACTTTGTAAAATCTGGTTGCTTTTTGATCAGCTTCAGTCTCAAGTCATCTTTGTGTTGAAGTCGGTGATGATGATTAGTTTTCATGTTTGTTGTGGCTGAAAATCCGCTCTCGCAGAGGTATGTTGTGCATAATGGTAGTAAATATTTTATTGGTGCTTTGTTGACATGATGATAATGATAATTGTACAATTAACACAAATTGTGTTAATTGTACAATTTTTGTTTCTTGCATAAGAATTTCATTTAGGTATTGTCACAAATGCATTTTTTGATGAAATTTTGAGAATATTTTTAGTTATAAATAAACGAATTTGTGCATTCGACATCATGTTGTAAATTGCTGAATTTTTGATGGTCCACCCATTATTTTTTTGATTGCTTCGTCTCATGCATTTAAATTTTAAATCGACTGATTTTAGATTGCTGCGCATACCCCTTCATGCAATTTTGCGTCCCCCCAGGGGTATGAGTACCATTAATTGGGAACCATTGCTCTAAGTAAATGCCAGTTTCATCAGCATTAAAAATTGCAAGAAATTGCATTTTTTTTCTTCTCCATGCCGCCATTTGTAAGCAATGATTTTGTTTTTCTAGCAAGAAAACCATCTATCAGTTGTAAAATATTACTTGCCCATTTTTTTTTTTTGGCAAAGGTTTTGGCTTTTTGATGAGTGGACCATTAATTGGTGCATCTATATCTCATTCTTCTTTACACCATAACTTTAAAGCTGTTTCTACCTTCCACTCTTTTCTGCAATGATGTCTTTTAGTTTCATTGGGCTACAATTTTTTCACAATTTGAAAAAATTGTAGATCTATAAATTCCCACTGTCATCTGTTCATCTGTCTGTCTTACCTTAATCTCAAGAATGGCATTAGATAGATGAAAGATGAGACCTGATATGGAGATCTTAGGGGCAGGAGGCCCCAATTAACTATACAGGGTGGGCCAACGAAAATGAAACGGCAGAGTTATCGTGTTTGTCCAAGCAAATCGCTCGGACAGGTCGATTTTATTCTCAAGGGGGACATCTTCATCAATTAAGTTTTTGCGATTCTGAATTCTGAACGTTTTTACAATTCTGAAAGTTTTTGTTACTTTATTTGAAATAAATGTTTGTTTAGTTAATAAAAAATGAATGAGTTTTTAAAATTTTTTGTTGTCTGTTGTATTCAGAATCGCAAAAACTTTATTGCTGAAGATGTCCCCCTTGAGAATAAAATCGACCTGTCCGAGCGATTTGCTTGGATGAACGCGATATCTCTGCCGTTTCGTTTTCGTTGGCCCACCCTGTATATGAACTTCTAATGCAAACCAGAAGTCACATTATTTCAATTAAAAAATTTTCCCCCTAAAAGTTGAGATGATTGGCACAATTCTATTGTTAATGGAAAAGTATGATGTACAGGGGCAAGCCACTACTAATTTGAGGTGAAGAGCATATATTTTAAATTAAATAAATTAAAAATATTATTAAAAATTGCAGCCCAGCCTTATGACAATGTCACAATAAATGATTTCTTGTTCTTAGACTTAGATCATGCCATGTTTTCAAAATCGTTTCTTTTCTTCAGGAGTGTGCACAATAAAAGGTTGAGATTTTTAACTGGACTGCAGGCATTCTTTGACTCATTTTTTGGAGATTATTTTAACACACTGAAATCTTCAATTTATCCTTCAAAGATAAATCATTATCTTCTGTTTTGCAATTTATCCACAATACTGAACAATAAAGAATGAAGTGGATACAATATAGTACATAAACCATAAGAGTTGTCAAAAATGTCTTGTCCATTTGTGTAAACTGCTCCTTCAGGAGAGAGGAAGAGCTTAAGCAGCTAATCTGACATGTAGAGGACAGTCCACAGATGTATGAAATAGCTTATGATGGTATTTCTAATACATAGTTTGTTTTAAACTGATCACATTAAAATAATTTTTCAGAGAAAATGCACAAATATCTTCAGACTTTAAAAAGTGATCATAATAACAATATGATTTTAATAAGCAGCATCAACTATATTTTTATTTTTATGGTGATCAAGAAATATATATTATGTATTCTTTCTTATCTCATTTTATCACTTGTAATATCCAGATGTAATATCTTTAATATATGAGTATAAACTACAAATTGTATTTGAAACAAAACAGATCCATTTAAATCTTTTTGTAATTGTATCTTACAAGCCAATCTGATAATGTTGAGTATTTTGTTAATTTGAATTTTATTTTAGACATAGTAATTAAAAATATATATTTAAAAATAATATTTACTAGTGAGTAAATTTAGCAATGAATGTTTGGTTTAATTCTTTGTTTGATAAAATTATAGTTATTGATACATAATTCTTTTTTTTTTTTCTTTCCAGGATGGTATATTGTCTGGAAACTGTTCTTATCTCGATTTAAATTTGTTAGAGAATTATTAATGGCTAGCAATGGAGCAAGCGAGGAAGAACAAAGACTGCACAGATCTCATGGAAGAAGAGCAAGAGTTGATTAAGTGCCATGTTGAATTGACTATTGAGAACATAATGAAAATTTTAAGCTGGAATTCCTGTTGCACAGAGAGGATAAATTTTACTTTATTGTGCCTCTATGTTGGACAAATAAAAAATGGTTGCCATTTACAATCAACATTTATATGATAAACTTTTATACTGTTATAAAGGAATTTAATGTATGATTGTGAATCTTATATAAAGTTTAAATTGTTAAGTAATTGAAAAATATTTATTAGATTTTTTTAAAAAATAAATTAAAATCAAATTTAAGAATTTAAAATATATGAAATCTCATATGTACTCTATGTAAACATCAAATCTAATTATAATTAACTTATACATGCAATAATCTAAAGTTAAAATATCTGTCTTTTTTTTTAGTTCACTGTTTCAAATCATTTCTATTGTTCTATTGCTGCATTTCAAATTTTTTTTCTCTCTAAGATCTTTTAACTTCCATCCCTATTCATTGATACCAAACCATAATAATTTTAATTTACATTTCTAAGTGTCTACGTGGCTTGAAGGATAAGACATCTAACTTTGAATTAGAAGATTGCAGATTTGAATTCTGTCATGGATGTTTTACTTTACTTTTGGCCAAGTGCCTTGGCCAAAAGTAAAGTTAAACATGCATAAGTTGAGTCACCATCCAGCAACTCCTATTGTAGGCCTGTTCAATCCCTTTAATCTGGAATAAAGGCCCTTTTGGTGCCCATAATGTATAATTTAAATTTTTAAAAATGTTTTTGAACTCTGCCTGATGCATTCATTTCAAATCTTCTCAAACTAACATCCTCTTCAACACAAACATCTATTTCTTTATTTCAACATTCTCACCAGTCACCATTGATCTGTCTTTTCTGAGTAATTAAAAATTAAATTTGAATGTAGATCGTCTCTTTGATTAATACAATGATTAATCTGAAGTAATTATTGTACAGGATCATTTGAATTAGGGGATATAAAGTCGAGCAAACCTTTTGAACAAGCTTTCTTTTTCTTTAATAGATAAAAAGCACTAGCAGCAATAAAATATTATTTTAAATGTATTTAACACCTTTTTGTGAAAGTTTCTTTTTATTTTAGTAAAAAGATAGGTGTGACATTCAACCTTTAAGTTTGAATCAGTGGAATTGTACATGAAGAAAAGCAAGTCAAAAAGGAATACAGACAAATTCAATCTGTTTCTAAAAATTAATCTGTGATTTTGTTTTTGGCTGGAACATTTTGGTACAAAATGCATGAAATTAGTTTGAATTAGAGGACATCGTAATTTCATTTTGTATGAGAAAGATAACCAATGCTGATCCTTCTTATATAAATTCAGATTCTTTGGGATTTCTCATGCTTACCTTTCATTTTTTTCCTCTTTTCCAGAGAGTAAAGGAACAAATTTTTTTTATTGAGTGATTTATGAGTTTGATTTCTAGGTACCAGTAGTTGATGTATTCTGGAAGTTTATCATTTCATATAGATAGCATAAAGCTCTTACATGTATCCAGCATTTTTCCTGTACTTAGTTTATTATTAAATAGTATAATCAGTTATCTTATTCCAATCTACACTTTTGCAGTTACATTATTTTGTTAAGGCAGTGATTCCCAACTTTATTAAGTTGGCAAATTCTATTTGGAGTTAAAAAAATTGATAGATTTCCTATATTAGAAAGGCTTGCTATTGAGAATATATGATGCACTACATTCTCAACAGTGAGCTTTAAAAATTAGAATTTCTTCATATTCTATACTCTCTAGCTATACTTATACACATTAGTAAACATATAGCTACTATATTTTTAGTAAACTTTGTTTTATTATGAATAGGGATAGGTTTTGTGAAAAAATAAACAAATATATCAACAAACTGACACTTTATTTTATAATAGAATTTAATATATACAATGTATAATTATATCTCTACTTCAATTAGCATTAATGTTAATTTTAAATTTTCCTGATAAATTGCTTCTATTTTAGTGTATTTATAATTTGTTAACAATAAGGTGGTTGATAAATGCAATGTTTTATATTCAATGTTATCAGCCTAACATAACATACTCTTATGCAAACTTGCTAATATTCATCTCAAAAAAGTTACAGAAAGTTGCATGAAAAGACGAGTTATGCTAATATATACTAAGTTATCACAATTATTGTAACCAACTAACAAAATCAATAATACAGAAAGTTGTAATAATAATTACATCATTATCATTTTTATACTTATTATAAAGCATATGTTTAAATGTTGACATTGTATATGCTGAAGACTAGATTAAATTAAACCAATCAATAATAATGCTATTTTAAAATAAGCTAGTTAAACATGAAAACTGTTTGGCTGCACCATCTATTGTTAGAGAATTAAAAACACAGTATAAGAATGGAATGATTGCAGATAAAATCTGTACAGTAATTTAGAATATCTTTTAAGGGAACGCTTGTTTATAATTAATGGTACCACAAACATTACAAACTTATTTTTAATTATCTTTACATTTCATTTAAACTATAGGTTATATTTTAATTGTAGTGGTAATTACTGGAATTTTATATATAGTTAAAAAATATATACAGGTATCCCGTGTATAACACTAGTTATATTCTGAAAAAGTGCTGTTATGTGAATCTCTGCTATATGAAACAAAGGACTAATGCAAAACATAGGGTTACTTTCCAGTAGTTAGTAACAAAAAATAATAATATACTTTTGCTAAGAGAAATATGTTTATTAAAGCAATCAATAATTTATTTCCAATCAATAATTATTTAACAATCACAATTAGAAGTACTGTACTGTATTATGCATTAATATTAATTTCAGTTAAACAAGGGCATTTTCTTTTCACAAAGTATCATTGTCATCTCAGCTTTTTTTCTTGATCTTGATCAGAAGCATCAGCAACATTTTCATATTTTTTATTTTTATCATAAAAAATTTTTATGGATGACAAAATAAAAATGTTATTAATTGAAAGTTTGTTCTATTGGGTCGCATTTGTTCAGTCAAGTATTGAGCGACTTTTTTCCAGAATTTGTGTATGAGTACGAAGATATTGCCATATTTCGTTCATCATTTTACAAATGATTGCTTATCTACAGTTAAAAAAAAAAGTTTAATGGCACTTATCTAAAAAATGTGTAAATAAACTTTAATCTTTGTATTTAGTAATCTATAAAAACCAAACACAGTGGGTATTAAAGGCTAAAATCTGAAAGCAATGATGACACCAGGTTGATAGGAAAGCTAAGACGAGGAAGAAAATTGCATTGTCAGTTTTCATTAAAGTAAACCTGATACAAAAAGCACAAAAATAAATTGAAAATTTCAATATTCTAAAATCCATGGGCATGTGCTTGAATAAAAAAAATATAGAATAATGGAGTTTACACTTAAAACTTGTGAAATTTTGTATGGAAGATTTCCAAAACTGTGTTAGAGTGAAACTGGAAGTTGTGTTCTGTGGGGGATATCCCCAGTTTTCAAACCGTGTTGTAGAAGTACCATGTTCTACGAGGGATAACTGTATTTGTTTCTATACTTCATTTCACCTAAGAACATACTACAGTAAGATGTCTGAAAGTTGACCACCTAACAGACTGAAAGAAACTGGTCAACATACAGAACAACTGTACTGACATGTATATGTGCTTTGTTTTATTGTACAACTTTTATTAGAGAATTTCATACAAAATCAATACATTTACATATGTATTGTTTTTTCATGGTTTGTTCATTCTGAAAAAAAGGAGAGTCTGTTTCTTATTCTTTATATGAAGGTAAGCAGAGAAAGCTCTCTCAATACTGGCTACACCACTCATAATACCTGGGCATTTTTCCACAGCAAATGACTTTAACTGAATTCTCAAATGTCTGACATCCTCTTCTTTCAGAATATCTGCAATTTCTGTGTCATTCTCACTTAATTCTGCTTTGTCAGTTCTTCCAGCACTTTTCTGCTGAGTTGTATTTTAGTCAATACTATTTGGAAAATTGCCTCTGGGTTAGGTTCATTGCAAACTGCCATATTGTCATCCATTGCAACAAAATCTTCAAAATCTACTCTCTCAATTTCTTCCACAGCAGGTGGGCTATCTGCAACATCTTGCTTTTGGGTTGTAACAAATCCATCTCTCTTGAAACACTTCTGAATTCTTTCCTTTTCACCACCATGACTCAATTAACAGAAAAATTTTCTAGTCAACTTGCACAGGGAAAAGACAAGAGAGTAAAGCCTGGTTCTTTCTCATACAACTACTTGGCACCTTGTTTTGATGGCTGTGGCAAGGCAAGTAAAATGGCTTGGTTTTTTCTAATTGCAGAAAAACATTTGTCCACCTCAGTTATAAGTCATTCACACTCTCCTGTGAAAGTAATTATTACATCTCTCCTTTCACACCCCACTGTGAAATTAAACAGTCAGTCTACTTTTTCATCACCTTTTTCAAAAATTACTTTCACACTTGGAGATCCATTAAGTGACAAAGTTGTTTTTTATTTGACTTGGATGAAGTTCTTTTTATGATAGAACAGTTAGTTCTGTGCTATTGGATAGATTAAGTTTTGTTTTTATGTGACATATTCATGAATTAGGCTTAAATGACCACCTAAAGATGCAACAATTGCCCATGGCAAGGTCACAGCTATGTCTAATTGATATTCTCTACCAGATTAATTTAAGAAATTAATCCATAATTATTAATATTAATTTACCAAATTAAAGTCAAAACTATCATATTCTTTGATAATCTTGAAGAAATTTGTTGCTGCCAATTCTACATTTCATTTTTCTTTGGTGCAAACTGGATTCAACTGGTCAAGTTATAGAGAGTAAATTAATAGTGTGTGTTACAGTTCAGATAATCAAGATACAACTTGTTGTTGTTAAGTTCCATCAAGTCGTTGTCGACTCCTTAGAGGTGGTCAATATAGAGAGGTTGTCTTCCTATTGTGTA